CCATAAAATGTATTAAATATATTTATTTTTTCAACAAATATATGTAAAAAAAAAAGGTTAATATTAATTCAAAAAATGTAAATACCCTTTTGAATGTGTATTTAAAATTACTTTATTATAAAAAAAACACAGCCAATAAATATGAAAATAAAAATTAAATAGTTTTCGATCTATTAAAATTAAATTTTATATAGGTTAAATACTTTAAGTATCAGGATTACACTGTACAACAATAATTTTACTAATATTTTCAAAATTGAAGGACCTTCGACGATCTGACAAGAAGTTTTTGAAGACTGAAAATAACACAATTTACGATAATGATTGATAATTTATAATAATATAGACAATTTTTAATATTATACTTATAATTTATAAAATGTATGTTACTTAATCTAGAAACAATCGATAAGTCCATTTATATGCTTAAAAATGTCAATTATGTAAAAATATGCAAGATAAATTTGCATATTTGCAATCGAGATTTCGCGAATCCAATTTATTTCATTTAAGGGTATAATTTTGGTGGCACAAAAAAAATATGCTAAGTCATAATCATCCGAGCTCTAATTTTGATAAATAAATTAAAATTTGAAATAATTACATAGCGATAGCTACATTATTTTACATTATTACGATTTCTATTGAAACCATTTTTATGAAAATAAAACATTAATGTTTTTATGCGTCATCTCATTACTACACAAGAATTTGAATTAAAAAAAAAAAACATAATACCTACAACGCCTAAAAAAATACTAGACAATAATTTAAAATAATTAATGCGATTGCCTAGGTATAGGAATTTAAGCTGATACTCAATACTGAAAATACTTTATGACATAAATTTTCGTTATCTATGCAAAATTATAAAATAATAACTAAGTAAACACTGTAGGTATGTTAATCCTAAACAACATAAATAACCAACCTACTTATACAATACATACCATTTAAATCTACATTATATGTAGATTTCACTTAATTTTATAAACATAAAATCATTTATCTGATAACAAAATGTTCTACTTCTATAATCATTTAACACTGAATATAATTAAATATGAACACGAATTAAAATTGAAATAATAACTGAAAATTAGAAATTAAATTATATGGTATAATATATATATATATTTATACACACCGTGTTGTTCATCGTTTACGTATTCGTATTAAAATTCATTAGTACTAATATTTTCAACGTACAAAATAAATTATCCCAAGTTAGCATTTCTAACCTTAAGATAGTTATTCAGTTGTTTGAATATGTTTCTTACAGAGAAAAACATCGCAATTGATTATGACGTCAAAGATATTGTGACAAAGATAAAGAAAACAATTCAACTTAGGTACCTATATAGTTTAACTGATAAATATACTAAAAAATAATATGCAAAAATGTAGTATGAAAATTATTTCAGCGACAACCATAGATGAACACAATATATGTTCATATATGATATAAACAGTACTACATTATGAAGGTGAATAGGCAATATTATATTTTAACAAATACTAATTTTTCATTATTATATTATTCATTTCTTTTTCTGATGTTTTTGTCATCCGCAATTAAATGTTAGTTAGTAAAATCGATAGTTAAACTGAAGTAATCATCCATAATAAAAAATCATCAAATTATAATAAATTGTAACTGCGTAAATGACGAATCATCAAAAAATTATTTTAATCAAAAATTACGTAGATGTGTATAAGTGTAATCTTCTAGGTTTGACAATACAAAAAACAGGTACTAAGTTATCATTAAATACATAAAATATATTATATACGATCAGATGGTTTCTGTACTACACATTAGATAACTAACATCAATAATGATATACACAGTTCATTCAGGATTAAATATTATAAAACAATATTTTACACTTATACCTATATATTATAATATCCCAAGAAAATAATTAAGGTGCAGTCAAAATATTTGATGTTTAACACACACTACAAATTGTTTAAACATGTGTATTAAAATAAAATTTACCATTGCTAATGAGTAGGGCAGAAGACTTGTAGTTCTAAAGAAGCTCTAAATATGCAAGCACTTGTGCACTTAAATTTTTATTTAAAAGCATTAATAAAATAAATATCATTAAAAAACAAGGCAAAACAATTCCATAATTTAAATATATTATATATCATAGCCAAATAAACAAAATACATTTTACTTAATTTTCTTAATTTTCTCTACAGAAACGACGTTAGATCGTTATCACTTCTAGGAAAAATGTGTGCCCGTGGACAATCAAAAACCATATACGACAAAAATTAAAAATAAATACATTTTTATCTAAACATTTTGACTGTATTGTTTGAAATAAAAATGTTACTTTGGAAAAAATCAATTTAAGTTAATATGTCTTAAAAAGTATAAAATAGCGTATAAAAGTGTAAAATATGCCATAAAAACAAAAAGGACTCAAAATATGCATTTATATGTAAAATAAATTTTCAAAACTAGCTTTGTGAAAGTATGAAACGTATTTGTTTCGTACTCTGCTTTTTTTGTGACTGTGCAAAACAAATATGCAAATGCTTCAAGTCCTCTGTCCTACTAATGAGGTAACCAAAAATGTGTATTTTTTTTTTTATTTTTTTTTTAAAGGAGTAAAATATTATTAATATTATAGATACCTAATAAATATATCAACATTTTTTTAATATAACGAGTTTCGAATTTGTGAATTATATTTTGTACCTATACATATTTCAATATGATAGGTATAATAGATATTCATAATATACCCTATATGAGCATGGTTATGATTATATTTTAAAGGTATGAAATAGACACTAATCACTACCCTTAAAAATCATACAGAACAAATAAACATTTTAAAAAATTTAGCTTTTCATTTCCTAGTCTTAAATTTAGAAAAACAATGTTATTCAACTCTACCAAAATATTAGGCATAAAAATAAAAATAAGATTAAAGTATACCATAAATTTAAAAATTGTTTATAATAAATTCAATTACAATTATAATAGTTCTTTATATAGGGTAATTTATAAAGAACTATTATACTTGTAATTGAATATATTCAAAATAATTTACACATTATTAAAGTACTTAGAGAAATTAGGGATACCAAATTAGAAACAAAAAGTACAAAATCGAGAAGAATGGAAAGAAGTGTCAATGGCGGTAAAAACTCTAGAAAAGTTGTGGTGCCAGAGAGAAAGATAAAAAAAACGTACACATTTAAAATATTGAATAATATTTGCGATTACACATCGGTCTCGGGCAAGCAGATCACGCAAACAACTTGAACTACTGTTCCGACCAACCCCGCACCATGTATTTAATTAATTTTTAGTTATTTGACCATGTGCGACCACTGTCTTGTGTATTCTTGTAAAAAGAACATGATTTATTTAAACATTCAAAAGACTGAAAAATTAATTTTGTAATATATTATCATTATTATACTGTACAATGATCAATAGAATACCAAAAACTTTACATAAATTGAATCTTAGCAAATCTTTGGCCTTGAAATATTTTCATGTACCCATCACAATATCGTCACATGTCAACCAAAGCAAACAACAATGATAAATATTTGTTACTTTGTTTTGTTAAGTATTATTAAAATAATGTATCGTATTAAAAAATAGCATTATTTTTTAGTAGTTTATATTTTTTATTTTCCATTCATTATTATAAACAAAATATTCATTGCTGTGTTTATATAAAACTGTTTTTTATACATTGAACAATTTAAATTAAAGTTTTGGTAAATTAGAATTAACATAATGAAAATCCTTATCAAAATATGTATATCATAAATTAATTATATTTTAATTGAAAAATAATTGTATGATTTATTTATTTAAACTTATGTTAATTTAAAAATTAAAAAAAAAAATTATATAAATGGATTTAGATTATTCGTATGACCCATTTTCATACATAAAATTATTTTATTAGTCATTATTTATATTTAATCCAAACATTGGTTATAATTTTCTTACAGGAATCAGATAACCAATATCTATATTATATAATAGTCCCTATAATGTACTTTGAGTCCGGGTATATAATACTACTTAGAAATCTAGAACACTAATTATATTTATACACTTAAGTACTCCACTTACCTTTCAGAAATCAAGACTATTATTTTCATATTATAAATAAATTAAATTATATTAATAAATTAATTTGCAAACTTAATTAGTATAAAAAAATATTTTATTCATTTTAAATAAAAATATTTATACTGTGGGGAATATTTTTCTTAAATTACCTAGAATACTATCAATAAAATGTTTAAAAAGATATGTTTTATTGCTCCAACAAATGAACATTAAATATATACTACAAAATTATATACAATAAAGCATTAATACAACCGGACATACTTCTATGACTACTAAATATTGGACATGAATTCTGCTTAACTTTCTTGTAAAATATTTAATTTAATGCTACTATTAATTTAAAAATGTTCATACATTTAATATAAAACATTTCAAAAATCATCAATTTTCCTTAATCAACTATTTTTTTTTTTTTTTTTTATTTGTACTAAATATTTAGTTGATTGCTCTGTATACTACAATGTTTCACCTGTCTTTTCTACAAGATTACTTTATCACTATTATTACTGTAATCTTTCAATATATAACTTGTATTGTAAATCTCTTGAAATGCCGATTGGCGTTAAATAAACAAATAAATAAATAAATGAATAAATTATAAATTAAAACTCAACATTAGATGCAAAAAAAACTTTATATCAGTTAAGTTAGTTTCATCTTATACTTGATCCCAAATTACTTAAAAGTTTAATGAAATTATGTTTTTAACATTAAATCACATTAAAACAATGAAAAAATTTATATTTGTAGATTTTAATCATCAAGATACTTCAAAATTAATCAATATACCACACAAAACATAAAAGTTTTCTGAACCTTGAGTTACATATTTTATATTACTTAATAATAAACTTTACAGTTAATATTATTTACTTACCAAGGTATTTCCATTTTGACTGCTTAAATATTTTTGACTCAATTCATTAAGTTCTAATGCTGGTTCTACCTATAATTAAGATAGTAACTAATAATAATAACTCTTACAGTAAATAATATAAACTGCATTACCTTCACAACAACACTTGTTTCTGATGACTTAATCATGTCAATAATTTCATCTCTATTTTTCTCAGAAACTGGACTTCCATTTACTTCAAGCAATTTATCTCCAGGAAGAAGTCCAGTATAATGTGTTTTGTCTTGTCCTGGTTCAGCAAAAATCACTGGTTTCAAATTTTTAGTAGGATTTTCTGATACTAAACCACGTCTTAATGAAAACCCAAAATCACTACCAGGACCTGCTCTTCTATTAATGGTTAATATTCGAGGTTCAACTTTGATAACTGGAACGCATGGAAGTTTTAGATTGTCATCAAATTCATCAGTTAAATAGTCATTGCCAGAAGGACTGAGATTAAATGGTGTAGCAAAACTACTATTTGTAGTTGAATCCGTAAGGCTATCGATACTTGATACTCTTGGAACATTTTCATACACAATTAATTCATTTTTTAATGTATTAGTTTGTAGAAGAGAATCTGAATCAAGATCTTGTAATGGTCCATGTTCTAAAATTGGTGGAGGTTTAAGAATACCACGACGTGGTGGTAGAGGGGGGGTTTGAACAGATTCATCAGTCTCATCACGATTTAATGGAGCAAAAAAGTTGGCACTGTAATCTGCAGTTATTCCACTCGGTAATTTTTGTTTTTCTTTACGCCTTGTGCGTAATTTCAATGACTTTCTTACCTTTAAAAATTATAAATTTTTTATAGATTTTGTAACAATAATATAATTTTTTTTCTAACCTCATCTAATCTTAACAAATCATCAGAAGACATACTAAAACTGCCTTTTTCTCTTTTCTCTTTTTCTTTTCGCATTTTCTTCATTTTTTTCCTTTGTTCTTTCTCTTCAATTTGATTATTAGCTGAACCCTGTGATCCATATCCAGATGTGCTACCATTGTTCACCACACTGTGGGAACCTGAACTTTTTTTCATAAAGTTGAACATTATGAATTTATTTATGGTCCTAAAAAATAATTAATTAGTTGTATTAATGTTTTAATTAGTATTAAATTTTAATAAATAACCACAGCTAACAATCAAACAGATTGCTTAACAAATAAAGATAAATTATAAGAAACTATACAGATGTAAGTAAAACTATTCCCAACACTATCATATGAATCATGTCAATAATAGTTCATTATTTAAGGTAGGAAAATATATAGTATATACCACTAATATATATATATATATATATATTACACACAATTATTACCTGAAGCTACTCTGTCATTCTAAAAAGGCATTGAACTGAATCATCTGGCAAAATTAGAAATACATTGATAAAGAAAAGAAGCTTAATTACCATGGTTTCTTGTTCTGAAAAATATAATAGAAATTCATCATTCTATACTTCTTTCTATTTTTATATACATTATATATTTAAAATTAAACATTATAAAATTTATCTTCCAAACTATTTATTGTGTACTAATATTATTTATATAACATTAATAGGATAAAAATATATTTAATAAATTATGAAAATTCAATGAAAAAATTTGATTAATCATCTTTACTATTTTAATTAGTATTTTGGTATTGTAGTTTTGTAAAATATACAATTTACTTAGCATGCAAATTAATTTTACAAAATCAAAAATATTTAATTAATAATAGTTTCATAAACAAATCATTAGTAACTGAAATGCAAATATTAATTAATATTTAAATATAATGTTAATTCCATATTAAATTAATGTTAAAATATAGGTAAACATTTTAATTACTTTGTGATTTTAAAAAAATATTGTATTTACAAAATAATATAACATTAAAATTTAACTTAGATAATATATTATATTGATTATATTTGATAAAAATATTGAAACCTAATTCTTTTTTATCTTAGTTACTTTAGATAATTTTATATTATAGGTAGATGAGAAATGAAAACTAGTAAATATTTAGATGATATCTATATACTTGTGAATCAAGACCATATAAGTCATTGGTATTGAATAACTCCAATAAAAAATGAAAGAATTATGCATGAACTAAAATTACTACAACGAAAACAAATATGAATACTATAATTTTCATAATACTTATAAGGCTTATATCTTAAATATCTTAAATATCTGTAACAAAATTTGGAAATGATGAATAGGATAAACATAATATATATAGGTAAATACCAATTATAAATAATTATTTGTACTCAAATAACAAATTTAAACAGAATCCATTACTCTCTTTCATTGTAGAAATTTTTCTTTCTATTTGATTGTGTAAGTCATATTGTTATTCATTTTAAACAATATTATAATGTATAGAAAGATATTTAAATATATCAGAATTGTTTGCTTCATCCAAACCCTAAAAATATATAAGTAAGAATACAAAATTGTAGATCTATAATTTATAGGTTTCAGCTCTACCAAATTATGTTGTCTACTGTAAAAATTAAACAGGAATAAAAAAACAATAAATAGTTTGACATTTGATTTGTTGAAATAATTAAAAAGGACTATATTTATGTAATTTTATACTATCATTAGATTAAATTGATAAGCCTGGATTAAAGGGGGGGAAGGGCAAAGGAAGCCATAGCCCCAGACCCACTATGGATATCAAACAATAGTGGGCCCCTGGTGGATAGTAAGTTCTTTTTGTTGGTTTTTTTCACTCTTTTTTTAGCTTAAATAAAAAAAAAATACGGAATGAGCAGTTCTCAAGAAAATGTAAATGGTTTTATGTTCAAAGAATGATATTTTGGAGGTAATTAATACCGATGATATAATTAAAGGGTTTGCTTCCCAAAAAACAAGAATAAATAATTTATACAAATTTTTATATTTAAAAAAGTAAGAAATGCATTTATAAATTAGAATATAATTTATTTTTGTCTCAGAAATATATTTATGTGTAGGTCACCAATATTTTGATTATGGTTATAAGCCCCTAAAATTGTTTGGTTCAGGGCCGCAAATTATAATCTGAACTTGTAAATTGATATAATATACCAAAATAAACAAATTATATAATACAATTTAAAAAAGATAAAATGAACAAAATTTGTAGTTATTCATTCATACAAATTAAAGTGAATTAATAAAATAATGAATAAACAATAATTATATAAATCTAATTTATCATACATTCATTGTCGTTTAATGTTTTTATGTAATAGATCAATTAACCCAAGTGCAATTACTATACCTAATTGGATTGATAATACATGTGATAATTGTATAAGATAATAATTTTCTATCTGAGTAACGGCTGGAATGATAGCCAATATAAATTCATTAAAAAAAAATCAAAATTATATAATATCCTGCAATAATCATAACAAAATTACTCAGAGTAATCAATTAAACATAACAAATTATATTGTAATAAATAATTAAAAATCAATGACAGATACTGTCAAATAAACTTAAGCAAATCAATATAATATAGTGTACAGAAAAGCCATACAAACAATATGAACAAACATTTAGATTATGTAGAAAATAGATTTTGCTCAATAGGAGGTAATTCAACTACACAATTAGGGGTAGTCATAGGATAATGTTTAAAATCATCAAATGGAAAACTAACCTTGGCCATTGAGTATCAAAACATTAGTATACAAGAGATGAAAGGTCCTCTGTAATAAGGTTGTTATACGTTGACGAAATTTTAAAAAATACAATTATTTTTTAAGTATATATTTATACGTATCATACAATCGGGAAAATACTTACTACAGAAATCTCACTGCAGACCGTGTCAACCGGAGGAACGGGTAAACGTATTGACATAAAACTGACAATATCAACTGGTACACATCGTCATCGAAAGGCGACTGACGTAACGGAACGATTGGAAAGTAATAATATAAATATTTCTATCTGATAGGTAAACAAACAAATTGGTAAAAACAATAATATTGTGAAAGGAATTGCACTTTAGGAGGAAAACAATAACAAACACCTTCGGACGCTCGGACCGTCCCAGGCCGTGAAGCGTTATCACATAAAGTTATATGTTTGTATTATTGTGATATTTTTTGTATTTTTTTTTTTTTTTTTCCCCCAATCTCGTTTCTACGGGATGATCCGTGAGGTGATTGCGGCGGCGGCAAATGGTGTGCGCGCGCCACTTTGCACGTACGCACACGAACACATCGGACAACGCACACAAACGCGCGCGCACATGCGCACTCGTTGTGATTAAACACGGCCGTCGACGTGGACGCGGCGCGGCGCAGCGGAGGAGCCGGACGACGGCGGCGGCATGCACGAAAATCTATTGTCCCGCACCGCCCGTCAAGGCACCGGTGCAGCCAACTGCGCGGGTCCCGGGAAATCCGTGATTGCGTCGTTAACAGAACGGATGTGTGGCAGTGCACTTCAAAAACACAAATTCGTTATTAAACGCGATCTAGATTCTAACGCTCCAACACGTCCCGACGGACGTACTTTTCGCGACGACGGCCACTGTATCGGGTCGACGATAAAAAATTTTCGCCGTTTCCCGCGTCCGTCCTGCGCCCGCTTGAGAACATCCGTCGCGCGCCGCGGCCCGCGAACGTCATCGTCGCCTGGCTTCACTGCACGCCATTTGTCTCGCGCCGTCCGTGCCGTTTGTGCGTGCGTCGTCGACGCGCGAACTGGGACCCTTCGAAAGACTCCACCGTTCAAACGTCGTTACGCTTCCGTCGGAAACTCGTCGTTTTTGAGTACGTTTCCCTCTTGACAGGGCGATCCCTGGTTTCCCCTACTCGTAAACGGTGCGTACGAACACGGGCGCACACACACACACACACACACATACACATACGCACTTGGACCTCGTATTTTCGACGAAACCGATCAGTACGATGCCTGGCATCGGTGTAAATCTGCGGGTGACTGGTTACTGCAACCAGGGCGGCAGGAAATACATGGAGGATATGTTTTCTGTGGCCTACCAACAGACGCCCGATATGAAAGACCTGGAGTACGCGTTCTTCGGAATATTCGATGGCCACGGTGGTTCAGAAGCAGCTGCATACGCAAAGGATCATTTACTTGACACCATCATTAAGGACGATGCTTTCTGGTCAGAAAATGATGACGATGTTCTAAGAGCTATTCGCAATGGTTATGTAAACACTCATATTGAAATGTGGAAAAATCTAGGTACCTACATTTATAAATTCTACATAGGTGTTAGTATACTTTTACACTTGCATTTTAATCATATACTGTATTTGATTATTTAGATAAATGGCCAAGAACTCCATCTGGCTTACCAAATACTTCGGGTACTACAGCGAGCATAGCCTTTATTATGAGAGGAAAAATATATACAGGTCATGTTGGTGATAGTTGTATAGTACTTGGTTATCAAGATGATGGTAGCTTTTATTTTAATAATTTATTATTACTGCTTTTAGTGTCAATTTCTTGTAAAAATTATTTCAATTTGTATGATTTCAGAAAATGGAGATTGGAAAGCTAGGCCATTGACGAGAGATCATAAGCCTGAGTCATTTGAAGAAAAAATTAGAATAGAAGAATGTGGAGGCAAAGTAATTAATAAATCTGGTGTTCCTCGAGTAGTATGGAATAGGCCCCGTATTGGTCACAAAGGTCCTGTACGTCGTTCAACTACTATTGATGAAATACCTTTCTTAGCTGTTGCTCGTGCCCTTGGTGACTTTTGGAGTTATAACTCCGAACATAATAAATTTGTTGTGTCTCCTGAACCAGATGTTGATGTATTCAATGTAGATCCTGCCAAACATCGTTGTTTGATATTTGGTACTGATGGTTTATGGAATGTTCTTTCAGCAGATGTAGCAATTTCAAATGTATTTTGTACAGAAAAACATAATATTGAAATGAAAACTTTAGAGGTAAGCTATTTCTGTTTTATAAGTATATTTAAATTTTTGTATATTAAAACTTATTTTTAAAATGTTAGAAACAAGATTGGTTAAATCCTTCAAAAAATCTTGTTGACAAGGCTATATTACAATGGAATAAAGTTAGATTGCGAGCTGATAATACTACAGTCATTACATTAATGTTAGATCCACCTGGTCCACCTGCTCCACAAGTGCTACTAAAACATAAAATGCAAACTGGTAATATGAAATGTGAAGATAAAAGTAATTGCAAGTGTGTTGATGGAGATCCACAAGTTCAAAGATTTGGTAAAGGTTCAAGTAGTGGATATGCTATATTTACTAGGTACCCTACCGATCACCTTTTAAAATCATCCTGTGCTCTTGCCAGTACATCAAAATCGTATGTTAATTTTTTAATTTATTTATTTTTTGTTATTAGTTAATTAAAATTAGTAATGTCTGCTTTGTTACAGATATTGTAGTACACCTATTGCTACACCGCCCTTAAAAACCAATAAAGTACTTAGAACATCAGCCAAATTGAATAATAACAATAATGAAGATAGTAGTAATAACAAAATCAGTCAACCAGCTGAAAAAAGATGTACTCGTACAAGCAGTGGTAAAATTGTCAAAAAACAAAAACTTAATAATGAGATGATTAAAACTGAAGAGACTGTAAAGTTAGGAAATAGTGATTCTGAAAATGAGCAATTACCTCGTGAATCCTGGCTGTTATCATCTACTAAACCCATACAACCTGAAGAGACTAAAGGTGTAGTATTAAGAAGTTCTGGAAGAATTCCAAAAATGTATAAATGTGAGTGCAATACTCCTAAAGATGTTTCAACTCCACCTAAGATTACATCTGTGTCAAAAATTAAGACACCTTTAACAGCACCAATGACTAGAATATTAAGATCACACAAAAAAAAATATAGTAGAAGATTTAAAAATATTTCATCAAGATCATCATGGCCAGGGGGTGTGGTAACTCGTAGTCATAGAAGAAGTGTTAAATGTTAGTTATAACTCTTCTCTATGTTTGTTTTAATTTTATCACACTTTTTTCAACCACAAAAATCATCCTTACCAATTCAAAACTCATTGTATCCATCTATCACTTTTTTTTTTACTAATTCAATGCTTTGAATAATTTTTTTTAGTGACTATTTTGTTTTTTTAGTTATTGCTATTAATAATTTGTAAATTTCATAAAGTCTATGATTTTATTATTTTTTTTTCTTTAAGAAAAATTGTTGATAATATAAAATTTAATTAATAGTTATGTATAAAACAATTATATTTTTTTAATTGTGAACAATATATAAATAATATATTTACTTTGTCATTGATTACCATTACACTTGACAGGTTTAAAATGTGAAATGTAATTGTTGTTTTAATGTTGGAATTAAATTTAAGAATATTTCTATTTAAATTTGATTACATTTTTTTAATATAATTATAATATGTAAGTATTAACCAGCCTACTATAATAGGTTAGAATTATTCATATGTTATTAAACAGACCCAACAAATTCATATTCAATAACAATACATTCAGTACTTGATATAAAGGTCAAGGAAACAAAGGAAAATACCCACAGAGTTTTAGAAAAGATAAAAAAAATTCTAATGAGAAGCTACTTTTAAGTTAGATTAAACTCTGAGTTGATTATGTATGATATAAAGAGAATATTATTTGATTATTTATGAATTACAAAATCTTTAAATTCTAAATATTTATAATTATAGAGTCACTTTTATTTGATTAAAATAAATTAATTTAACTTAATAACAATTATTCGCATATTAATATGAATATTTCCTTATGAAATATTTGTTACTTGTAATTTACATCAATTACTAACTAATTATGAGTATAATATTTGACAATTAGCTAATTTTCTTTTAAAGCTATAATATTCATAAATTACTTATGTTAATATTTTTGACGTTTTTCACTAGAAGCTTACTATTATCAACTTAAATGTTGAAAGAACACTGAACGAAAAATCCGTGGTAAAAATACAATACTACAAAAAAGCAACATTTTAGCATTAAATAATATGCAACTTTTAAAGCTCTGTTAACAGTAATCATCGTTGCTATTGAAAATGTTGAAGTTTGTTTATTGAAGGCCATGATATTCTAAATATCACACGATGGTTATTTAAAAAAATATAAAAACCAATGGTGGACAGATTTACTCGTCAATAAGACAATTAACTGACAAATATAAATAAATCTAAAGATTTCAAACTTATTATTGAATAGTGAATATTGTCTGTGATATTATCACTACTTATTATTTGTTTTGTCGTCTTGGTTACCTACATTGTAAATTATCTGGCTTATCACTTTTCACGAGAAACGATAATTCGAAAGCAATTATTCATATCTCTGTAAAAGATAACGGTACTGCACATCCAATAATGTTGTGCGATGATTAGAAATAAACATATTTTATGTTATGTTGATATATTGATAGTTAAATTCGCTTAGGACTGATCAACTTTTGAATGGTTGTATCACAACCCATAATGTTGTGCAATAAATATTTTTTCTTGTTTGTTTATGCTCTTCAGTTGTATATTTAAAAAGTTAACCCAATTTTTTATTGATCTAGTCTATTCCTTTTTTAATTTTTAATTAATGTGCTTTGAATTACCAAGATGGAACATATTAAAACTCCAAAAGTAATTTACATGTTACCATGTCATGTCTGTTTAAATATTAACAATATAATCGAAAATATAATATTTGTATACAAGTAATAATTATTATGTTGGGTGCTTGTGGCTGAGGTTAACACATTGTGCATGTGTGCTAAATTACTAGATTCCTTCTCACATCCTAGCCAACATTGTGTCCCTTAAATACCTACCTGTAGAGTTTCTTACTCCCTTTGGAAAGATTATGGCAAGCTGGTTTTATTTCTGTAGTTATCATAGTAGACCTAACCCATGGATGTTGTGCATGCTTTTGTAGGACACGCAGTGAGTGTGTATATTAAACCGTAACACACACAGTTGTATGGCTGAAAAAGACAGGTTCGTGTCACCGGCCGGCTTCCGTCTGTATCGTTTGTCATCAGCTCCCGGATCGTACTCTTTGTTCTGCCGTTTCAGGTCGTGGTTACAGCGCGAAGCTGCCATGGCCAAAGTGGCCAGGCAACAGCAACAGGACAGTTCGGTCATTAAAAAGGTACAACGTGGTTATTCAGTTAAATAAGAGAACTGATTAAGGATCATAAATCTTATAATCCCATTAACATTAAATAACATTTGACTTTTTTTAAAAGCAACCAAATATGGGATTATATGGTGTTAATACATAGTGAACCTGTTAGAGTTAGCAGTATTAACTTATTTTAACTATTATATAATAATAATACTAATAGTGATAAATAATTATTATTTCCTTGAGTTAGTGTAGGTATATAGTTTTTAAATATGAAATTAAAGTTTTCTAATTTTAATCCAATACTTCATAGATTTTGATAAAATCTAATATTAAATTAATTCTTTTTGATGTTTTTTTTTTTTTTTTTTTTGTGAAAATATAACTATTTGTTGAATTAATTATTTAAACATGTATTAGGTATTATAAATTCTGCAACACATCACTTTGCATACATTATACTTGCATAACAATTATATACACATATAATTACACGTGTATATTTTAATATAAATATTAATAAATTTAAGATAATTTAAATATCCTTAATTTATTTTTACATTTAACACATTTTAATTGCGAAATTGTAATACTTATTTAAATTATTTATTTCTCCATTATCCGTAACCAATTTTAATTAGAAATCTACTTATTTTTACCCAGAGTTCTAAAATCAATTTCTTATGGTAGCTCAATCAACTGTGTGAATAATGATGTGATCTTATAAATTATAGCATCATACTTTTAGTCGGTACTGTTGATATGTAGAAATATAATTTTAATATAACTTTTCTGCTCTTCTTTATTGATGGTTTCTCTGAATTCAACTGGTTTGACCTTTTTCATATTTATTTTTATAATATCCTCCCAACATCCACGTCAGTCACTACTTAATGATATGTGTTCATGCCCTCTCAGGGGCGGCTCCAGAGCCTTGGTTGGGGGGAGGAGTTATAATTTTACAAAACCTTATAAAAAAAAAATAACAACAACTATTACAACATAAATTCAAGTCGTCTATTTTTAAAATTGGCAAAAATATCAATAATATGGTCTATTTGATTTAGAATATCTACTTTATGAAATACATTAATTAGACATAATGCCGATAATCTATCTTCAGTCATTCTTGAACGAAGCCAGGTTTTTAGTTTCCGAAGTGTGGAGAAACTCCTTTCAAACATCATACCTCTATGGCTCTATCTACATACTTGTGCGATAGTTCATATTATAATATGCATTTTTTGTTAACAATATACATTTTTTTATAAGTATGATTTGGGCTTGGAGGGGCTGCCCCTAGAGCCATCCCTGTGCCCTCTAATACATTTTTCTATTTAACATAACAATATTTACTTAACATATTAATATTTTTGTACCCTTAATCATACTGCCTTCTATAATTATAAAGTGTGCTGTGTGATTATATAATCAAATGACAATCTGAACTTGAAATACTTGGAATTTAATTTGGTTTTTGTCTTAACCATCACAACTGTTTCAGATAAAAGTATTAATTTACTTCTAAATCCTTAATTTTCTATACTATGATTAACTTAAATGCTGGATTTTGTCTAACTCAATATTAATTTAATTTATATTTTATGCATATATATTTAATGTTTTATGTAAATAACTGTCAAGCTTTAAACATTATAATTAAAAAAAAAACATTCCAAATGTTACATTTTTAGATATTATTTTATTTTTTTATAGAATTATTTCCAATATAATTTGTTTTTAGACTAGCGTCATTAAAACTGTGTAGTAGTATTTTTCATTTTTATTATTTCAATCATTATTATTTTTGGTTTAGTAAACTATAAAATAATACAAATTAATAAAGATCTTAAATTCATTCTTGGTTTAATATTAATTAAATTATAGAGTTTCAGATATATTTTAAAGGAATCTATAATAAAAATAAGCAAAATTGAGGTCAGTATATAATTTTATTTATTTCAAATTTATTAATTTTGTAGTCCAAAAACTCATTATACTTATTTATAACTTATTTAGAGAAATGCAACAAATGTTTAATTCTTAAATCTTAAAAAAATTTTAAAATTATTTTATGTATTGTATTTAAGTTATGTAATAATAAAAGTTAAATATTTAATATTTTATTTTGAGTAATTTGTAAATTGACATAAGTTTTAACTAAGGCTTTAACATTTGTAAAACGGTTAGTAACAATTTTAAATGACACTGTATGAAAATTAACTTCCAATATACTAATAATGTTACCAAAAAATATTGATGGTTATAGTCTAGGGTGTCTGTATAAAAAACCTATGCATATTGAAAATATAAAATGCATGGTACAAAAATATAAATTAGAGAAAATATAAATATATGAATTTTAAAATGTTCAACATCTTATAGGCTTTCATTATTCATAAAATGTGGTTCATTTTTGAATACTTATCATGTATTTTGCTTTACTTAATATTTATAACTTACATTTTGTGTCTTAAGTAATATAATTTTGTAGATATAGTGTTGTGTAAAAAACTTACTCAATTCTTGATATTAAATTTTGTAACACAGTATAACCCTTTGTCTTTAATTAAAATAAGCATAAGTAGCTCATACCCTAATATGCCATCAACACATAAAAGCTTATATACTAATTATTTTTTTTAATTAAATTTATTTATTTAAAAATTTGTATTTATATTAATTTTAGATAGAAAATGTACGAATGTTAGATCGTTACAATGCCAAGAAAACATCAGCTGGTACATTATACTTAACAGCCACCCATCTAATATTTTTTGATACTGAAAACAATAAAGAATCATGGGTGCTATTAATGCACATAGGCAATGTTGAAAAACTACCTATAACGACTACTGGTTGTCCAATATTAATCCGATGCAAAACATTCTTATCAGTCACATTTGTCATACCAAAAGAAAGAGATTCTCACAATATATTCACCTCTCTTCTTGTTCTCTGTCAACCTGGTATGTATTGATGCTTTTACATAATTTATTATTATAAGTATAAAAATTAATTATGTTTAACATTGAATGTTTTTGTTTAGCAAAAATTGAAGATCTTTATTGTTTCTTATACAAGTCAAATTCTGATAAAATATCCAAGAGTGCTGGTTGGGATAGTTTCAATTTAGAAAAAGAGTATAAAAGAATGAATGTACCAAATGAATCTTGGAGTTTAACAACATTAAATCAAGACTACCAGGTTGATAATAACGATTTTAAATTAATTTAAATTTTGTATTATAACATATGCTTATGGTAATGATTAACAGTTATGTGATACATATCCAAAGTTCCTTTTTGTTCCCTCTTCTGTAAGTACATCTATTTTAGTGGGCAGTTCAAAGTTTCGTAGCAAGGAACGTTTACCTGTTCTTACTTATTTACATAGTAACAAGGTATAATTATAAAACAATATTTTCTTTGTTTTTCATTACTTATTATATTCTTTGTACATTTACTAATTTTCAGGCATCTATTTGCCGTTGTGCACAACCATTATCTGGATTTAATGCTAGATGTATGGAAGATGAACAACTTCTTACGTGTATACTTTATACCAATCCAGGTAGCGAGTATATGTATGTTGTTGATACTAGACCAAAGGTAATTCAAACAAAATATTAATTATTTATATAATCCATTATATCATAAAAGTGTTATTTGATTGATTTTAGATAAATGCAATGGCTAATCGAGCAACAGGGAAAGGTTATGAAAATGAAAACTTCTATGATAATATTAAATTTAATTTCTTAGGTATTGAAAATATTCATGTTATGAGAAATAGCTTGTCCAAAGTTGTAGATTGTAAGTACTGTTGTAAAAAAAATTTACAAACTATGATTATGTTCATTTAATACTAATAGTTGTAACAATTTATTAGTATGCGAACAGCGAAATCTGTCTATGTCACAATTTATTGGAGGACTTGACAGCAGTGGTTGGTTACGTCATATTAAAACTATTCTTGACACATCAGCATTTATATGTCAAGCAGTTAATGTTGGTAAGTCAGTTGTAGTTCATTGCTCAGATGGATGGGATCGAACAGCTCAGGTCTGTTCACTTGCTTCACTTATGTTAGACCCTTATTATCGTACACTTCAAGGTTTCCAGGTATGATTACTTAATTAAATATACATATTTGAACATAAAAATATATTATAATAATTGTTTAATTTTATTGTATTCTTTTTAGGCTCTCATCGAAAAAGATTGGTTAGCTTTTGGACATAAATTTAGTGATCGATGTGGTCATATAGCAGGAGACTCTAAAGAAGTCTCTCCCGTATTTACACAGTTTATTGAAGCAACATGGCAACTAACAATGATTCAACCTACTACTTTTGAATTCAATGAACGATTTTTATTAATTTTACACGACCATGTTACTTCTTGTCAATTTGGAACTTTTATTGGTAATTGTGAAAAAGAACGTGGTGATCTCAAGTAATAAAAATATTATTATAATATTTAGAAGTAAAAGTTATTTTAATATTTTATTTTTTTTTTTTAAACAATTGTTTAGACTCAAGGACCGCACATTTTCTTTCTGGGGTTATGTTGAAGAACATAAAAAAGAATTTTTAAACCCACTCTACAGTGCTCAAATAGAAACTATGCGCCCAGATTTATCTCCCCAGAATATAAGATTTTGGCGAGGAATGTATTGTCGGTTTGAAAATGGAGTTCATCCTCGTGAACATATATATGACATTTTACTTGCTACTAGTGAACAAACAAAATCTCTTGATGATCATGTGAAGTTCCTACAAAAAAGATTATCATATTTCAAACGCAAAATAACTGATGGTGCAGATATGGTAAAAAACAGTCTGTTCTCAAAAGAAACATGTATAGAACCTATGAGTTATAATAAAGAAGACAATATTATACAGTCAATGAATGAAACATTTGATAATTTAACTGTTATGGAACCAAAATTAGATGAAGCTCATAAGGTAGCCATTGAATGGAAGAGCTTAAGAGACCCAGTTTCATGTGAATGTTCTACAGATTCCTCTACAAAAAAAGTAATATATAATTTATTTAAACTTTTTATCATTAATTATTTATTTATGATATACTTTATTTTAGTATCATTGTTGGAAATGTGGAAATGTATTTTGCACCCGCTGTATTGATATGAATGTTTCATTACCCGGTCATCTAAGTCAAGATCCTGTACCAGTTTGTCATGGATGTCGTAAAATTGTTACAAGATCATCAACAGAGTCATCTTAAACTTATCATATTATTATTCATTAACTATTAATTAGTTTTATAAAAATTAAGACCAGTCTAATATCAGTTTATACTAAAATGTATAAATACAAATTGTATTATTCCAGTTATACATTTGTTTATTTTATTAGTGTTTAAGTGTCCACTATTACCTATTATTTAATAGTTATATATCAATTAATTATTGTTTTTGTTGTTAAAATCAATGTTAGAAGATAATTGCACAATATTTTATATAAATTATGACTATGTAGGTTATAATATTGTTATAACTATTGTAAATTATAAGTAAGTGAAGATTGATAATGGCACAAATGTAATAATAATTATATTATATATTTTCTGGATATTTTTACTGTAAACCATGGTATCTGTGAGTTAAAATAATTGTATAAGGTGTATAAGCTGCATTTATATTTTATATTAAGAAATCAGTATTTTTAAATTTATTTTTAAAAAAATAGTGCATTCTAGTTAAATAAAGTAGATGCTCATTTTTTTTTTTTTTATCTTCATTCTTTAGTTCTCTCATCTATACTTAAAACAAATTATAGTCATATGTTTAAAAATTAAATTATTCTCACATTATCTTGTGTAATTTTTTAATTAAATTTCTTTTATACTAATAGATTACTAGAAATTAATTTTATATCATATATATCATCTACCATTGATTATAAATACTGATAGTATGCCCTTTCATCAAACTCCAAATTCGTCATATATTACTTCATTGCAACTCGATTCATTTTGTGTCACTTTGTTATTAACATCCCATTTTAAGGCTATTGAAAGTGGATAATTTTTTCGTCGTTTTTCGTGCATTTAGACCAATAAACTTAATAATATACTTCCAGAAGTCTAATTTTAATTTTAAAAAAATATTTTAATTCCTTATTCTCTTTTCTAGGTTATGAAGGAAACGGATTTTTGATTCAATTTTTTCAGTGACACGAAAGTTAAGGAGAATTTTGAAAAAAATAAAATAAAATTAGTATTATACTAATTAAACAATACAAAAAATCGATTTTCTACATAACCTAGAAAAGATAACAAAGAATTCAAATATGTTTTCAAAATTAAAATCGGACTTTTAGCACTAGGTGAATTTTTTTTCCGCTTTTTGAGTGTCCCGTGACCACAGCTGGAGTTTTAAGTTTTTTTATCGCAAGTTATATTGAGGTGCGACCGCGCATAAGTCAGGGCCGGATTTGACGGGGGGCATTAAGGGCATATGCCCCGGGCCCCCAAATTTTAGGGGTCCCCGAGACTCGAATCAGAAATATAAAAAAATTGCAATTTGGGTTCTCAAACTATATTTAAAAAAAAATTATAGTTTTGAAAATAAAAATTAATTAGGTATAAAATATAAATTAAATTGTACTACAGTAAACTACAGCCATTATTATTGCACTATCAGTGACGTAAAGTTGCGGGTTGTATAATTACATGTGTATGTTTATACGAGTATATATAAAAATCATAATGTAATCACAATGTAAAATGTTGGAAAATTCAAGACGTCTATAATCGTTACCTATCGGCTTATCGCTGTTTATAGCATTTATGCCTTTATTGTGAATTATTTATTATTTTGTACATTCCACTTTTCGCCTAAATCTCGCTATTTCATTATGATCAGCCAAAAATACTCATGGGCCTGTACTTTTCAATTGTTTTAATAAGTAAATAATATTTATAATAAATTTTAAATTAAATAATTTTAATAATCTATACGAAGTAGAAAATATTAAAATTAATTTATTATATTAATTAGAGAATGGATATTAATGTATATACATATTTTACTAATTAACTATTTTGGTGTAATTAAATACTTTTTTCATTAATACGTAGGTACTACAGCATATTTTGAAGTTTGTTTATTCGTATCTAAATATCTTTGAAATCATGTTACTGCGGATATTACAAATTACAAATATTATTAATTATTACTTTTAATAATTGTAAAATAAATATTATTATATTAGTTATAAATTTATTTAATATTTTACTATAGGTTGGTAAATAAATAATAAACATGAAAAGAATTTATAAAAGTGGTTAATGACTGTAATAATAATCTTAACTTTTAATTGACTATTTTCTTTATTATAAATATAAATATATTTTAGCCTTAGATTATATTTTTTATTAATAAAATAAATAATATATTACTGTATGACTTGTTCAATTTATTTAACATAAATAGTTATTTTTAGTTGTAACTATAAATACATTTTACGCATGGTTTATGTTTAGGTAGGTATGCAATTTTTATTATGGACCATTTAGGGCCCCAAAATATTTTTGCCCTGGGCTCCATAATGTTTAAATCCGGCCCTGGCGTAGGTACGCTACGGATTTGCAAGAATTTATTGAAGTCGTGAGCTGGCGATTATACAGGCGATAAGAAAGCAATTAGAGCTAATCATAGATCAACATATGATAAGAAAATAATATTATATTAAAATATTATTTACAACATAATAATAATTGATTGCATATAATTCATTCGAAAAAGGTGGAAAATATTACTTGTCAATCCAAAAAAATTTCGGGGAGGTCTAACATTATTATTTAATACAATTTATAGTTAATAAACTATATTCACCGCTAAAATGTTTCTACTTTTGAAAATTTCGGGTGGGTCCGGACCCCTGGACTCCCCACAGTTACGGCCTTGATTACATGTACCACGTATGTCATCGGTATTCTGTTCATGTACGTTTCATCTGTACACCAAATTAACTTAGATACTTCCGATTGTGTTTTTTTTTTGTGGTGAAAAATAATTATGAATAATTGGCGTTTCGGTAATAAAAAGTGCTCTAAAATTTAGAGTCTAAATTATCCAGACACCGAAAAAAATGTAGACATAATTTGGCAAATTGACGTGTAAAAAAATATGAAATTCAAAAACTAGACAATGACACGGATAACGTTTCAGAAATAAGCAGTAATCAGGTATCAATTTGTTCAATATTTCAATAATGTGATATTTCAAATCTCAATTGTATTTCGTATTGTGATGAATGTGAATCTATTTTTATTATTAAGTATAAATACATCAAACCAAAGTAATGATACATATTATGATGAACCCGGAGAAAATCACAAGTAATAAAGTAAATATTTAGTGCGATTGATATTTTTTAAATTAAAACACAACAATCCATATTAATATTATAATAAGTAATTACTGAACAATTTTTAGATGTAAATAACATTTTAGTTTCTGAGCGGAGTGATGAATGTATTGAAATGACAATAATGATGCGTGTTTTTTTTTTTATTTATTTATTAATTTTTTTTATGTCTGTGTACACGATATATTGTCAAAATAATGCTTCGATTTTCAACTTCAGTAGCTTTTCCGGTTCGATAACGACTATAGTTTGTGCGTTGGGAAATTCCCGGTAGTTTTCAAAAGCACCAGGAAAAATAAAATAAAAATTAAGGAAAAACGGAAATATTTACGCAAAATCAATTTTTGATATTTTTGAATATTAATGGCTAAAAAATGTATGTAAAATGCTGACATAATTACATAGACGATCTGTGAAAATTTCAAGGTTAATTTTTTAAAGTTAATCTAAGATTTACTATAAGTAGTTCATGTTATAAGCAAAAAATCTAAAAATACACGAAATAAACACAGATTTATTATAGATATTATAAGTTCAAATTTTAATGAAAAATAAATAAATAATTTCAAATCTTTTTATTTTCATTAGGTTTATTTGTGGCGGTAGATGTATTGTTAATATAAACCATTTATTTGATTCAATTCAGAAAATCAATCACCCACTATTTGGCTGCATATAAATATACTATATAATATATATTGTAAACATATTTGAATGCAGATCTAACTTTAATAAATGAAAAGATAAATGGTTTTTACTCCGAATTTATTTTTAAACAAGTGATGATTTTAACAAGTGATGAATTTAATAATTCTTCGTCGATGTGCATAAATACAGCAATGGTCACAGTAGTTGTTATTACTGGACATAGATTTTCCCAATTAGATACTTTGACAGCATTTTTAAATATGCTGAATATGTCTAATCCAAGTTATCAGAAATATTACAATAACATAAAAAAGCACACCGAAGATTTGGCTTTTGATGCAATGATTGATGCTGGTAAATAATAAGCTACGTTAGCTATTATGGAAAACAATGTCAATGATAAAGAAATACCATTAATTACAGTGATAACTGATGGCACATGGTCGAAAATTTCTTATAAAAATGGCTATAATGCTTTGTTTGGTGTAGTGAGAATTCTTTCAGATTCTTTAAACATTGTTTTTAGGTCTATAATTATTCATTTTGTATAACCCGAAGAATACGATGCCAAAAAAACTGCATTTTTAAAAAAAAGGAATTTAACCGTAGATGAAATAGTCAAGATAGAAAGAAATACCGTCATATGAAAAGAAAATGACGATTGGAAAAAGCTTAGGAAACATCGACTCACGAGCATCTAATTTTGGAATAATGTGTAAATTAAGACCAACCACTTCGCAAGCCAATATCGTAAAATAAATTTTATATGATATTTTCCAAGGAAGTTCTTCTACTAGGTTCGTGGTGTATTTATATTTTATTTATTTTACAAAAATTATTGTATTTATTATTATTTTTTATAAAATGTTCTACTATGGTATGGTATTGAAAACAAATCAATAGCCCGAAATGCGTTCCGAAAAACCATGAAGGGGAAAATAGAATCAGCTGGATTATTTACCCATAAGAATAAACCATACCTCGCAGCGAGTCTTGACGGGTTGATAGATAAAGATGGTATTTTGGAAATAAAATGTCCTTCAAGCATAAAAAAATATACTCCGGAAGAAGCAATTGAGAAAAAAAAATTAAGTACATGAAATCAGATGATTGAAAAAAAACTGATAATTATTATTATTAAGTTCAAACGCAACTAAATATTACAGAAAGACATTACTGTTATTTTGTTTTGTGGATTCCAAAAGGTAATAGTATATTAATATGGGACAATAATTGTATATGTAGAAATGTAACTGCAATCAATAAA